AACACAAGAGCTAGTTGACTTGAGAGAAGCAGACGCAGAGAAAGTCAAGAGAGTCGCAGCGAGGGGTCTTTTCTCAAAGCATCTACCAGTCCACTAGTTTAAGGGAGAAGGTAAAGGAGGAGGGATCAGAGAAGGAAGGAAGAAAAAGGAGGGAGGAAGGAAAAAGGGAAAGAGAAGAGAGGCTTCCAGGTTGACAAGTGCCCTGAGACGCTCTATTACGTTGAGCAGATTGTATCCTGATACCCTGGTGCGAATCACGCGTATGCTACCGAACCTGGCACCCCCTAATTCGCCGCGCCGTGGCTCGGAAGCGCTCCACGTCCACTTTACTCCACTCTGGCCGTGTAGTTGCTCACTCGCAGCTGCCACGCGAGTTTCTCAGTGGCAGAGTGCGCTGAAAGGCTGTCTTACATTATAGAGGAGAGGTGAGCAGTCGTTTTCTCCCCATCGAGCCTTTGCGGACGCACATACATACAAACCGACACATAAAGTTAGTGCTTTATAAAATAGTGATTTTACAATACTTTCCACTATTTATTATAGAACCCAGATAATAACACCGGGAGATAGGTGTGCACACATTAAAGGTAATCATACTCGTGAAAACCGCATGTCCTATAACACGATGAAATTTAATGGAAAAATACTCTAGCTAAGAACAAACGTACCCTACCTAAAAATACATACATAAGGGTAGCTCTAGAAGCAGAGCACTCCGCTGTGCACTCAATAACGGAAAACATTCCATAGGTGAAAAGATTAAGACATCAGTAGCCGTCATTCGAGAAACTAATATCATAATCAGGATATTGCTTCTTGAGAATATCCACAGTCACAGAGTGATCCGCTGGACCGTAACCCTGAAATGCTTTGGGCTGAAACCAAATTCAAAGTTCTCACCGCAAGGCCCACTGAAAAAAATAACGGCTTTTCAAACCAATGTATTTAGGACTTTATTTTCCATGAAATTTTATGATTTTTCTCTGCTTTTAGGGAGCCTAGCTTGAGGTTTTGTACCTTATGCTTCTTTTCTTAACCAGTTTCAATGGAAACAAAGTTGCTAAACACATGATTCTGAGAAGCTGAAAACATTTGACTTATCAGAATGCAAAATTACCTGAGAATATCCATATACAAGAATTTTCTTCGCTTTGTCCTCATGCTTGATCCTTCCACCACCGACACAATCGAGCTTATAGGATGGTCCCGTATCCTCTTCGACCACATCAAAGATATCAGAGTGGAAATTGCATTTGTTATACCCACGCACTATGTGTTTAGTCTCATTGGACGATTTGTCGGTACACTAAATAAAGTTGGAGATCAGGTTTAGTACTTCGCAACAGTGAATTCTCTCGTCACTTTTCTCCTATTCTTTTTTCGGAGAATACATCCGTGCAAGAGTAGAGAGTAAGTAAATGCTAAACTCAGAATCAGAAGCTTTTTGGCATCTCGGGCATCCAGAAGTTGACATAATGGGGAAGGTCTCAGAGCATTCATATTCCACACTCCAACTGCGCGAGCGATCAGATAGCAGAACATGAACGCACTCTTAGTGTAGGGAGCTGTGGCAGTACAGCGGAAAATATCTGTGCGTGAAAGGATGGAGGAACAAAATCATCCTTTCTGAAAAGGGATTTTTGCATCCGAAATTATGCAGGGTTCCACTCTTCCTCGGTGTAAATTGTAACGGGAAGTGTTTGTTATAATCCTCCCGAACCAGAAATTCCTCCCTCCCCCCCCTCTCTATAGTCTAATGACACCTAAAATATCGGCACGGTGAACATCGGCACGATCCTCTTCACTATGGAATTCAAGCTCATTTAGGACTTAAACCAAGGTTGATAAATCTTTTTCAATCAACTGTTTATGCCACCCCTCCAGAGCCTGGAAAGTTGAGAGCCTTTTGAGAGACCATTCATCCAAACACTATTTCAACCTAGATACCTCAGAGAGCTCAAAGGGTCACGCTGTGTTCATACTTTAAGTCTGCGTACGCCACCACCAGCGAGTAAGAAAGCATAATTATCGATCTAGGGTACGCCAGAAGTATGTCAGAGTTTCGAGGGACTAGGAAAGTATGGATATCGATCTAGCAATGCCAGAGTTTTCGATTTGAGCTGGAGCAAAAGAGCTCGCGAAAACGCTGGCGCATGCTAGATCGATACTTTCCGTCGCTGGCGTACGCTCGAAACGCCTGCAAAGTGACCATCAAAATGATGTCATGAAAAGTAGTAAAGCCAACCCAGAAAACTGAAGTTCACCCTTCACCCATAGATGTTAGTAGGCGAAAAACTATCCCAAGAAACCACTTGCTCGAGCGGCCCCCGGAGGGTCGACCATGTACGTCGAATGAATTCAAAGTTAGGGGAAAGTCCATGTAGAAACACAACAATTACCTTAATCAAAATGTACTTGAATGTACCGGATGGATCGATGTCGACGTTCTTTCACGTCTGCGAGAGGCATGGTGTATTACCTGAAGTAAACCAAACATTTGCACATTCCAGACCAATGTTTATACGAGACGTCTACGAGCGAAATAAGCAGTCTAGTGACAATAAGAGCCATAGTCACAGATTCGATTCGGTCCAGTTTAGCCAGGAAATCAACTTCTAATGGCAGAACCTACCCACAGATTCAAAAAAATATCGCGATGAGTTTAATCCTTCAAACAGTGACCAGGCGGAAATTCAAGTGTATTAGCTGCAATTGCAGTTCCCAGTCGCTGATACAGAGGCTAACGCCTCCGATATTTTCAGAGCCAGATACACCCTAGTTCGCTGCCGACAGTTGGGAGTATCAGCCAGTATGAGTGTTTCACCCCCAGAAGCGTTCTCTGCTTTAGCGCAGATTATGCCGGAGCAAAGAATGTGGCTAGAAAACGTTATAATACTCTAAGGACATGTGTACCAGTATTGTCACTATGCCCGCCGATTACACTGGCTGCGGCGACCGAACGCAGTTTTATTTGGCCACGACCCGCTCGCATAAAACGCCACGACTCTCCGCACTTTATAAGCCCAAACCCGTCGCCAGCGAAAGTACCACTATTATTATCCCGGCCCCAGCTTCATAATAACTCCAGTTCGCGAATGCGGTGTACATATACTCATCTCTTTCATGAAGTAGTACCCTTTCGCAACAGTAGCGGCTCCCGCTAAATGAGCCTCTCTGAAAGCCGTTCGCCCTTCGCTGATTCTCTCGCTCGAAGGCTTGACGCGGGAGCTCGGACGACCAGAGTCACCGACTCGCCGAGGAATAGTCCTGCAGAGGAGATGATCTCCATTGAGGGCAAGGCTTGATCGAGGTTGGACATGGAGCATTGGCGAGTCGTCCCTCCCCCAGGGCACATCATTGGTTGGGGATTTTAGTCCTCAGACCCCCTCCCCCCTTTTTGGGGGTTGGTACGACCACCCACCCTGGCCCCGTCTTGTTTCCTACCATTCATTGAATCGAGCCGTCGAGCGCGGGAGGGGGAGTAAATAGCACATGTGAAACAGGAAAATCACGAAAACAAACCACCACTCCCACGACTCCTAGAAGGCCACAAAGAAAATACGATTCCCCCACTCACCCCCTCCCAACAATGGGCAAAGGCATCCCCCCCCCTTCCTTTTTACAACGTCCGGCCCCGATGGAGCGAGAAAAACAAACTATCAAAATAAATTTTTCCCGGCCCAAATACGACCCACCCCCATTGAGGATTCCCCAACAACGATGTGCCCTGCCCTCCCCATACCAGCCCCCTTCAAACGTTGGCCGCCAAGAAACCACTAAGTAGCTCGCTCCACATTTTCAGAAGTTAAACAACTTCGCGGTGAGCGGCTAGGCTGAGGCCACTGCCATTCGCGATGTTACCCCAGTCCGCTAATCATCGGTCGACCCCTGAGCTGCAACATATCGCCCAGATGCGTGGTTGCGCCCGTCCATCTCACCAGTTTCAATTCCTGTCCTCTCATGCTTCTATGGCGCTGTCTCTGTCGAAAGATAAGTTCGTAGATGCTCCTTCGGCTCTCACTCCCGACCTCTCAATCGAAATATCAACACGAATTTGAGCAGTGAAGCTTATTAGGATGTTCTGCGTTTTTCTTCTTTCCGACCTCTCTTTCTTGTCTACTCATGGTGACTTCTAGAGATATCGAAGCTTTTCTTTTCTGCCTCCAGGTTCTGGACTCCGCGTGCGCTGCTCGAAGTCGCCAAGATATACGCGTCCTTGTCACTCATGGCAAAATATAAGTGGATCCGTGATCCCGAACTTTCACTCGAGTGCGTATTAAAAGGCCAACCATACCGTAGCCGGCGAGGTCTAAATATGCATTATTCATAATCCTGCCAAACGATATGGCTGTGAAGAGTCCCGTTGTTTCAGGCGGCGCGTAGCACACCACTCCGTTCTCGTGCAGCACGCGGCCAGCCAATTCTTGTGGGACTCAGGCATTAGCAGGGACTATTGGGAGAAGCCGTCCTGCTGCGCTCCAGTCACCAAGCCACCGTATCCACTCATGCCCTATTCGTTTGCAGGAATCATGACTGTATGCAGTGCACACAATACATCAATGGATGCTCAGCCTCAACGATGTGCTGCATTGCCTTTATTAACATTTAAGTGCTTTTATTATGTACAACCACACGGTAACGGGAACACTATTACAAAACTAACCAGCGCCAATCATTAAGTAGCTGAATAAACAATCATATTAAATTTATATCGTTCGCGTACAATTGCTGTTGTACACAAAATTTCTCTTTGGTGGAGGAAGTTACATTCAAAAAGGATGAATCTACACCCTGCTTATTGAATACTATGACTACTACTGATGAAAATCACCGGAATAAGAACTGGCATATGACAACAAAGGGCTACTAATTATGAGAAGTTTCGCCCTTATATCGTTCGTAACTAACGCTTCAAAGTGCAAGTCTATCTCACTCTCTGAAAATACAAGGCAAACGAAGTGCAAGGAATAGATATTCAGGCCCTAAGTGCTCGGCATGGGCCGCCAGTATTGCCGTCAAAGTCAAGGTATTGTGCGGTGTTTGGCGTGATACACATTGCTCGCCGCGACATGGTGCATAAACTTGCAGTCTATTCCCTAGCAGGCTGATAGCATTGCCAGTACGGGTCCTGGTGTGAATGCCGCGCACACGACACAACTTGTTACCGCGATCGCTACGACCTGTACCAGTATGATACGCCCACGCCTAAAGGCAAAAACTTCGGAGTGGGTGAGCTACCTCGCACATTCCAGTTCCAACTTCTCAGAAATGAAAGCCACTATAGCGCTGACGCGAAAATTCATCTGGCCCCTCCCAAGGCACAATGCGCCGACATTGATTTTACATGCAATTGCGAGCGATATAGCGATAAATGGTATACGATGGCAAGCTATTTTTGGTACTACAACAAATAATAAGCTCTGTGAACAAATGAGCCCTCACATTAAGTCAAGAGTAACCGTTGAAGAGAAAAATAAAGCTCTCAATAACCCTCATTCGAGAAGGTTATGTGGTAATCAGGGTATCGCTTTTTGAGGATATCGACTGTTATCGAATGATCTGCTTGTCCAAAACCCTGAAAAACCGTTGCATTAAAGAGCCCATTTAGAAGCCTGATTAGTAGACGGAAACAGCAGTCGAGTTACCAGGGAAGTCCGCCAACTTACCATGGAACTTTGAATGGGACCTGGTTAGATCTATAGAGTCTATAAGGTTATTTACAAATATAGACAGCTAAAACTGCAACATGCATTTCACAAGCAACTTATGAGCAGCTAAATTTTGTAATGGTGCATTATGGTGGAGTCTTGGTGGTGAGCTGTGAAGCATAAGCGAGTAATCGCATGCGTCGAATTGAGTCGTCCAACGTCGGACTTTACCACTGAACCAAAACGACTCGATTCAACGTAAGCGATTCCTCGCTTATGCTTCACAGCTCACCACCAATCCTCCACCCTTGACTGCCCACCATTACAAACGTTTCCACTTCTTCATAAGTTGCTTGTGAAATGCAGGTTGCAGTTTTGCTATCTATATTTGTAAATAACCTTATAGACTCTATCGATCTACCCAGGTCTCCATTCAAAGTTCCATGGTAATTTGACGAACTTCCCTGTTTAGTAATGGACCATAATATGACGTTAAAGGGTGTGGATAGAAAATAATTCGAGGAGAATCATGAGGACTACCCTGCGGAGCTAACAGAAGTTGTCAGCTCCGCAGGCGTTGTTGCTAATTGATTAGCTAGGACGTCTGACACCCCGTTGGACCCACTAATATCCTCCCTGAGGCCTATGAATAACTAAGCAGTAAAAATGGAATTAGGGACAAAAAAACTGCATGACCAGTCTATAGAAAAAGGCACTAATTGTAAGTACTAAAAAACTATCAAGAATTGATAAATCAATATGAGAAATCCTATAAACGTAGGATTTCCTTATGCCGTCGTCTCGTCGGATGTCGCGATCCTTCCACCTCAATACATACTGAAGCGCAGTAAGACGGTCCGCATCTCTCGAGCAGCTCTGAGGATATCGACATGAAAATGACATTTGTAATATCCACGCACGATGTGCTTCGTCTCCATCGATGACTTGTCGGTGCACTGAAAAAAGTAATACCAAAAATTTGGTGACAGTTATAGACTATTCATTTCACTCAGACAAGACAGCAAGCGTGCAGATCCAAAGAAAGGCAGGTGTGAGGTGGTGGGGGAAGGCAGAGCACAAGATGGCGACTAGAATGCGTTCACCACTTTCTGAGCGTTTTGAGGGCTACAACACGGTTTTGACAGCGGTCGCCCGCTTGTGGAAAAAGTAATACGGTATCGCATCTAGCTTAGTTGGCGTGCTACGCCCGTCAGTTTTTCAGTGGACCAGCGCTCACGCTGGATGCCACTCGGATCTAGGATAGAATAGGAGAGTTAGATAATACCCAATGTTCCTAGTCGCTGGATACGTTGGCGTACGCTCAAAACGCTGACGCAGAGCATAAACGCACCTTCAATTGCTAGTCGGTACCTTGCTAGTCGGCAGGTAGCGACATGTTCCTTCATCAGGTTCATCTTAGCAAGAACAACAAAGTCACCGCAGACTGGTGTCGCTTCTTACCCCTTCCTATTGCCCACACGTACTCCATCCACGTTAGCATCCCACTGGTAAAGAGCAGTATCATCGCTATACGAAAATAGTAGATTGTGAGACAAAATTAGTGAGACAGTAGTGAGACTACTGTCTCACTAATTTTGGCTCTCATGAACTATTCAATTTGAGACAACAGCGGGAGATCTGACAAGCCTGTGGGCGGGGGGGTGTGAGGGCTACCAGAGCCCGGAACGAGAGCAATCTCACTGCGACAGCGCGCGTCACCGACCAGCACGGACGTTAGGCTGCTTCATGCTTTGCGTCAGTGTACGCTGGCCTTTTGTGCGTTTCGAGCGTACGCCAGCGTAAGCGACTGGGAAAGTATAGGTATCGATCTAGCGTATCCCAGCGTTCAGGAGTGAAGAGTATGTGGAACTAGGAGGGTAGCGGACAGTTCAGTCGGTCGGAAACGGCGTGTGCGACCGCAGCGTACTTCTGCTGAAGCACAGAATTATGCATCTTGGTTTACAATGTAGGGCAGTTGTACAGTGCGGTTGCACACATCGCGACTTCACGACGCCTAATTTAGCAGTCTCCTACCCTCCAACTTACCCACATTCTCCACTCCTGGACGCTAGAGGCACATGCTGACGTTCGCTAGATCGATACCTATACTCTCCTAATCGCTGGCGCTGGCGTACGCTCGAAACGCTCAAAACGCTGGTGACGCAAGTATACCGCAACCCCAAAAGCGTACAACAAATGAAAGGAAACAAATACCTTGATCAGAATATACTTGAATGTTCCCGAAGGATCGATGTCGACATCTGGAATGTCTGATAGCGGCATGGTATGCGACCTAAAATAAGGAAACTTATGACTTTCGAAAATATTCCATAACTACGCGCTCAATATATTGCTATTACTTATACCTCCTCTGAAAACCGAATAGTTTTAGCATTGTGTGGAGAGTAAAGCAGTTTGGCGAGTGATTCTCAACGAAAGTCAGGTGGAATTAATAGTGTACTTCCACTATCTCGGATGCATTCAACGATAAGTTCTTATCAAGTGTATTGACCAAGCCAATTCATTCTCTCACCGGTCGGATCGCCCGGCTAACGCCAAGCTCCCCTCCTTCTCTTTAGGTGGCTCGAACTCGCCAGGCGCAGCTCATAATGGAAACGTTCATTCCCTCAGCTGCTCATATTGCGCTGTTTTGATCGAAACGTAGTAGATGGACCAACCCAAACGTCCAGCTGCTACGCGAGCTGCTTGTGCAGTGGCTCGGAGTGTACTAAATGACTGTCTTATATAGTGATATCACAATCAAAACAACATCATAGTTTGTTACTTTATTTGGATTAGCTTGCAGTTTTGCTAGCGGTTGTATCCTCCTCTCTTGCTGCGTGCTCCTACTCAAGCGTGCGCTTCGCACCCCCCCCCCCCCCCCTCACCGTTCTCCCTTCATCCAACCTCTTCCCCTGTTTCCCTACCTACACGTGCTCAGGTCCGGCTGAGCACGTGCAGGGGAAGGAAGCAGAGCGGAGAGGTCACTTGGTACCCCCCCCCCTCTACCCCATCCTGCCCCGCACGAGCACATGTTGAGAAGAAGAACGAACGAGAGAACATTTGAGGCTGGTGTTGTGCGCTGCAGATGATGGGGCGTACCAGCAAGGGTGCATTTGGCCCGGCTCAACCCGTATTTTTCTTCTGGCAAGCGACAATACTGTTTCGTATCGTTCGTGTCAGACGTTGTCCACCAGCTGTGCTAATCGTCAACAACTGGGGTAGAATGGGTTTGGGGCGTGCTAAATGCGTCTCGGAATTGCGTGACATGGGTGTTAGGGACACAAGACAAGTGTCTGTTCACGCCTCTTGCACTGCCAGCCGCTTCGTATCGATAGCTGGTAATTGAGTCTATGAGAAGTCTGGGTCGATGGAATATAAATAGTTGGCATCGAGCGATCGTGAGATTGATGGCGTAATAGGGAAAGAGAAATCAGATCACAGCTCACGACCAATGTGCCCTTTCAACTCTGAAGAATCTGGCGGATCAACAGGCTTGAGGAGAAATGAACTTTAGGATTCATTTCATTCATACATTTACATTCACTTTCATTACGCAGAATAGAGAGGCAGACTTTCAAAATGAGGGGAGTCTCCGAAGACCGTTGGACCGAAGTACTATGTCTCGTCAATCTAGAAAGTTGCGCTTGATCTTCCTTACCATCGAATTACGACGTCGCGAGCAAGCCTTATCGCTTAGTATCAAGAATCCTCATGTCTAACAGCCATGTAAGTCATAATAGAACCAACAAACTACCCTGCAATAGTCGTGACGAGTGTCTTACTTGGAAAACCAAAGTGTTTCGACAAAGAAGTTGCCGTTGCAAACTTAGTTTTTAGCGAATTTAGCGAAAACATTTGAAGAAGTCCCGAAGGCGAAAGCGGCGGATAACCCATACTAACATTTTGGTCCAAACGTCGCAACATCGATTACGATTGTTGTCGCTTTCATATAAACGCTTCTGTTAATGTTGGAGGACAAAGACATTGGAAGACATTTATAAAGTTCTTTGCAGTGCTACTGGTTAATTGGAGAGGTGTTTTGATTGTCGTCCTTTTATTCAAATTTTTTCATTCAAACCGTTATTTTGAAGAAATTGTATAAACGATTTGTTGGCTATTTCGAGTTTGCACATCTAGTGTTCATGGATTTGTGTTCGGCTTTTCAAAAAGAGGATATCCTTATTCACAGGTGTTAAATAAGTGCTCTGCTAGCTGATGAAAACCGCTGGAGCTTGTAGCTGAGTGACTGGCTATCATTTGTTCATCATGACGGCACTAACGCTTGAGACAGTGATGCGCCGATTTACGGATGTGCAGTTCAGTTTCTTGGAATTCGTCAAGCGAATAAGATTTCAAGTTTATGCCAGGGTACATCACGCGTTTCCAAGAACTATCGAACCCATATCTTTGGTGGGTTGATGCACATTATAAAGACAAAAGATCGAAATTGACATAATTGTGAAGCCGGTTTAGACATAGCTTCAAAAATTGTGAGTTGTGGCGTTTAATATAAGCTTCGATCCCACCATCCTTTTAGAACTGTTCTTTGTTGAAAGACTTGAACCTGGTATCAAGTAGAATGGGACGGTGGGGGCGAGGTACAACTGTAGTTAAAATAGCTTTCTATGCGCTGCGGTCGAGTTTCAGTTGAAATCGAAAGGAATTTGAAAGGTGGTTTTCCATGCGTAACAGCTTGCTGAAGTCACCTGATGGACTGCTTTGCTTTGTGGGAGTTCTTTGATGCAATAGTTTGGGAAACTTATTTGCGTGAAAGGAGTTGGTTCACCCTCTCGGAGCTCTTTTTTCCACTAGGCCTAGGCAAAATCCTCAACCTCGGTATCCTTTATCGTGGTTTTCTTCTTTAGGCGCCCTGGGTTCTCCTCTCCAGGATACCCCACTTTAGTGGTTAAGCGCCTCAGCTGATATTGGAGTTATCGTCTCTCAGCAAAGCCAGGAACTACTTCACTGAACGTGCTGTAATGGAAGGAAAGATGTTCAGTACCATAAGTAATTCGAGCGGAATTGGTGGTCCGGATTCAGGGACATTAATGCCATGCAGGGTGGAAGGTTTTTTCTCAGTTTCTCAACACAGAATGTCCAGTGTGCAGAGGCAACTGATCAGTGTCTTTCTTCTTCTTATCGCTTGTTCTCCAGTTCTTCAACGGCGCCGTGTATAAACAGTTTAAAGGTGAATCAACGTCATGTAAGTCATGGGCCTTGCCCTTACACCCTTTGGAGCCAGAAATGTTCACCAACGTTGTCTTACCTCCACCACCGGGTTCGTATTTGACGTCGAGAGAATCTCTTTGCTCGTGAATTGTACCCGTTTCAGGCGCATTATACACCCCTGGTCGAAACCGCGTCTGCACCATTATTGAGCTGTTTAGCCCTCCCCTCCCCCCGCCGCCACCTATCTCTCATCGCTCGTCAGTTGAATTTTGGTGGGAATTTGATGGGAAGGGTAGTTCGGGGCCATATTTTCCGTTGATGGTGTGTACTTACACTGCTATTTTACACTTCGTCGTGATGCTCCCTGGCTAGAGCCGCTCGTACTAGGTTGTGGCTTCAAAACAGGGCGCCTCATAAGTTGAGAATTTGCAGCGAAGGGAGTCGTTTCGCCCTTGTGGAGATACGAGGGTTCGTGTTGACCATGAGCATTTTTTTGATTGTTATTGTTTCATGCACGCTACACATAACGTTGGGATACTTCCATCGAGGGGGGGGGATGCCGTATTTGCTTGTCGCTTTGAGACGAGGGTCGTATCTGGCTTCGAGAGAATCACTGGAGAGGGAAAACTGAGGAAATTGATAGAGTCGGAAAAGCTTAGAAAGGTGGCAGGTAGGATGGCGGAAGTGGGGAGGAGCGGGTCGTACCGGAGGAGGGAATTGAGGGTCGCATTTTCTGAAAATTTTCCCCAGGGGCCGGAATTGCCCTTGTTCAAAAGCGGGCCATTCAGCGAGATGATAGTTACACTTTTATGCTTGAGAGGAAAAGCTGCTAATGGTGAAAGTAAAACCGAGCCTCATCTACTACATTCCCAGCTGTGATGTATTTCTTTGTGTCATTCAGTATATCCTTGTATGTTTCAGCGAAAAAAGACGAACAGCGCATTGCATTATTCTACATAATGAA